TGTTAAGGTTGAAAGTGTGTGAATGGTCCATAATCCCCCAGGCAGCTTTTAAAACATGAACCTGGGACCTGCACACCTTCTTCTGAAGCGCTCTCTGTGGCAGTAATGGGGTGACTGCTGGCACCTTTTCCTATCTTTTTTTGCCTTGTGATATTCTGCTTGTGGTGTGATCTGTCTTCTTTGTGATGTGGCATGATTGTGTTATTGGGTTTGTTTCTTTTGAAGGGGAAGTGATGTGTTGTGAGTGAGGACATATTTTCCCTCAGAATACAGTAGGTTCCATATGCAACTGACAATTCCAACTGCCTTGCGGGGGGGGGAGTTTGAGGTGTGGAATGGAGTGAAGTCCAATCAGCTTCCATATGCAAAAGACCTTGAAACGCTGGGCGGGACTGCACAAAGCAGCCAGTCAACCCAGCCAGCGTCTTCTGACTGACAGTTCTTGCGGCCAAACACTAAAGGTGTGCATTTGGAACGTTGGAGCCCACTACGGCTCTATATATAAGGGAGATATGTGTTTTATAGTAGCTGTTTGTATGTTTGGCTTAAGACCTCTGGTCAATGAAGCTAATAAATGAAAGGAAAGCTCTAGAAAGCTGGAATGCATTTTCTTATTTTTCACCAAATTTATACCCTTCCCTTTTCTAGACAAAGGTTACTTTTACTTTAAAGCTCAGACTCACAGAGCGTGGCTCTTGTTTATTTCTTCACTCTGCTTAATTAACACAACAGCTTTCTTTTGTTGTATAATTGTTGATTGAATTGATGGTTGAATTATTGTTGTTGTTAATTGCTTTGAAGCCATTATAGCTTAAAACTGTTGTATAAAACATTGTGAATAAACCAAAGTTGAAAAGGGCTGGGGACCCTTGGAATAAGACAGACCTCTGGAGGGTTCATATTCTTCCAGGGTTACAAGCAGTTCAGTGAGGAAGATATCCTCAGCTGGTTCCAAACGTTCATTCTTGAAGAAAAGCTATAAGGCAAAAAGAAGCATTTAGGGTATCATTCTTTATGGCAGGATAGGCAGGCTTGGATTGTATCCAGTGCATAGATGATAGTCCTTTCCTACCTCCCTTTCCTCAGAAGCCCCTGAGATTTCCAAAATGCTGGTGCTGGAGTGTGGGATTTTCATGGACACAAACCCACACAAACCCAGCAGGCTGCTGTAAGAAGAGATAGAACCAAAGGAAATCACCCTCCCCTTTCTCTTCCATCAGTAGAAATTTAAGTGAAACAGAAGCAGTGTCACTCTGGTTCCTCTTCTTTAGTGCAGCACCTTGGGCAGTATGATATTTGTCTATGCAGTTCCTGTAACTTCCACCTGCAGCATCAGCTTTTTAAAAAACTTCTGGGGCTACTGGTAGTGGGCAGAAAAGAATCATACCCATCCATATCCTTATGTGTACATTCTACAAGATCCAAGTCTGCAGAGAACAAAAATGTAATGTTTTGTTCAACTGGTTAGCAAACTGCAAAATTCTTAAATGACAGGCAGAGACTCACCTTCACTGTATATACTTGGAAGTAGATTGGTTGCAAACCCAGACGCACATAATATGCAATCACATCAATGATGAACAACTCTGAGACAGAAGTTTTACTTGGAGTAGAGGGCTGCATGGGGTCAAAGAAAGTTGCATCAGTCCAAACCATCTGTACAGCTACCTGCCATTCCTACACCTGCAAGGGGTATAGGAGTTCCTGCACCTACAACTACATTCCTACACCTTCTAGGGGACCATGAACAAGAACAACTCCCACAATATCTTTCTCTGTATCACTGTCTTCAAAGTGTGTGATTATTAGTTCTCGCTGTTCTCCCTTGATAGTTTAATGAACCAGCAAAGCTGAATGCGGGGATGTGAGTTGGGGAGGAGGGACTGGCCTTTCATCTACAAGGATGCTAACAGAATTAGATTTGATTCCTGGTTAAAAAAAGGTCTTTGTTCATAACAAGTTTATAATTTTAGTGCACAGCTCACATTCCTGGCCAAGTACCATTCTCAGTAAAGGGATGCTTTAGTTGTTCCTTTAATTATCTGAAAAACAGGGCAGAAAGCCTCACTGCTATTTCTAGGGAGCACAAACAGAAGGAAGGGCTCCTCTCCTACCATGGTGGCCAGCTTCGGAATCATGTGACACAGGGTGTTGACATTGCTCTCATACCATGGATCAACTCTTCCAAGATAAGCAGCCAACTCACAAGGCTCTGCCAGGTCAGGCAGAGCATATTCCTGGAATAGGAAAAACATGTCCGGAGATCCACATAGCGCAGAATTGTGGCAAAAAAGGATGCCTTGCCCCCATCACAGTTTGAACACTCTCTGAAGGCTAGTCTTCAACATGGCTCTGAGTAGAATCACTACTGTATGTACCTCCATGGAGCGAGAGCTGGGCTGTTCTTCCATCACAGGCACATAATAAAACTGCACTTTTAGCCTAGGTGTAAGATATGCACGTCTGCTCTCTCGCTTCCTGGGAATGAAAAAAAATATATAGTTCTCAGGGATCAGTGAGGCCACCCCAGATCTCATGTCTTCAGTGTTCTGGCAATCAAGGGTTGGAATTCAGAAACCCACCTCACAGGAGGAGGGGGGTTACTGTTCTCCAGAAAGCCTCTTGGCATCCTCTCCCTCACTCCTCCATTAAGACTTCTGAAAGATTTACTATGGCCCTGGTCACACGGGAGGTTTTGGCCCGGAAGAGGGACGGATCGGGGGCGCAGCAAACGGGCACGATCCAACCGCAACATCTGGGAATCGGCACGCACCCGTTCCCGATCCGTCCCTTCAGAATGAAAATGCGGTGCAAAAAAGAACCTACTAACTGGTAGGACTTACCTGAAGCACTGCAGCAAGCGCGGCCGTGAGACGCCGGCGCGCTCGTCTGCAGGAGCAATCGAGGCTCCCGGCCGAACTGCACACGTGCACACGTGCACACGTGCACACGTGCACACGTGCACACATGCGCAGTTCGGCTGCCTCACTCTCCTTTCAGTGGCTTCCCCCCGGCATTTGATCGTGCTGGGGAGGAACTGCGCGACAGCTCAGGGGATCTGTGTGATCCCGCCGCCGCGTGTCTCTTTTGGTGCGGCTTTCAAAAGCCGCACTTTGGCCGTACTTCCTCCCCCCCCCCCGTGTGGCAGGGGCCTGTGTTTGTTATTTAGACCATTTCTATGTGACCTCTCCAAGAAATCTACTTATGGCAGCTTATAAGTAAAACATGATTAAAAAACCAACAAGATTTAAAAGTTTGTTTTTTAAAAAACTAGCAAACTGTTATCTCAACAACTTAAAAATCAGCCAGAGCACAAGTACAGCACACATTTAACAGCTTAAAAAGAGTCTCATACAGCCAGCTGGAGCAGACTGTGAAAACTATTTAAAAGATCAACCACTAATTAACAGCCTGGGTAAAAAGGAATGTTTAATAATAGCACCTACAAGACAGTACAGTCAGCACAAAGTTGGCCTCAAAGGGAAGCCACCTGCCTCGCTTGTTTTGCCAGGTCCAGGTTGGGAAATTCCTGGAAATTTGGGGTTAGAACCTAGCAAGGGCCACAGCAGGGCATAATGCTATAGACTGTACCTTCTAGGGATGGGCACAAACTAAACCACAAAGCAAAATTGGTCAGTTTCCCTTTAAACCCCTGCTTTCTGTTCCCTGCTGCAGTCGCAAAAACAGCTGAGCAGCGGGGAGCACCTCCCCTCTACTTAGCTGTTTTCCAGGCTTTCTTGTGCAGTTTCTTTTAAGGAACTGCACAAGAAGGCGAAACAGCTCAGCAGCAGTGACCGTCTTTCTGCCACTCAGCTGTTGTTGTTTTTTGTTTCTTGGACTTCACAAGAAAGCAAAATAGCTGAGGGGCGGGGAGTACCTCCTTGCCGCTCAGTTGTTTTTCGTGGGTTTCTGGTGGAGTCCCTTTACAGGAACTGCACAAGCAAACCCATTTAAAGGGGCTGTGTTCCCTTTCAACAGGGTTTGCGGAGCTGAGAACCACAAACTGGTTTGGTTTGCAATTGAACCTCCTAGTTCGGTTCATGGTTTGGCCATGAACCATCACGAACAGCATTCTTCTGGTTCATGCCCATCACTACTACCTTCCAAAACAGCCATTTTCTCCAGGGGAAATCTGGGAGATTTCCAGGTCCCATCTGGATGCTGGCAACCATACACCTCACCTCTGCAGGCAGGGGGATAGAGAGCAGGGCTTTTGAGGAGGATCTTAATTGTTCCATTGGAAGTGTGGAAGGAAGTAGTGCTTCAAGTACTCCAGTCATGAGCCAAGATTATAATGTGCCTCCCTGTTTTCCTATTAAAAACTCATTTTAACCGAATTATTACTGTGCACTCACATTTACAGTTTTCAGAAGCATCTGCAGAGTTCTAAAGGATCTTCACTGAAAGCTGCAAGACCCTTTCTTACCACTGCCTATGAAATGCCTTTTCCCAAACTGGTAATGAATGACTATTTACCTCAAGGAATAATAGGCCTGGACAAGGCGCGCCAAAACTCTGTCATCACCTAGCACCAAGACTTGAGCCGTGTGCAGTCTTTTCATCTGAGCGATGGGTTCCATGACACTACCGCCACATTTCCGGTGCAGTTTCCCAGCAGGCTTTGCACCTTGCCCACTGGACCCAGTCTGTAGGAGTGATAAGCAGTCTAGAGTAGAAGTCCTCTTCTTTATGCCCCCCTTCCTCTGGAGTCGGGAGTGTTCAGCCTCAGGAACTTCATCATCTGGCAGGGGGAGGTCCCGTTCAATACCACTGTCAGTGGACAGCACAGAGAAGCGTGCCTGCTCACAGCCGTCATAGTCAGGTCCCATTTGTTGAATCTCAAAGCTATCCAGTACTTGATTCAGAGAGTCATCCTCACAGGACTGACTCTGTGGGCAGAGGAACAGCACTATAGGACAAAATATGGAACTATGCCAACGTTGTTATACTGATACAGCTTTTGCCTGTAACTCCAAGGCAGATGATCCAATCCTGTGCCCCAAAGGAGTGCAAGTATGAGTGCCTCCTGCCACCAAGACGTTGTGTTACCAAGGTCTCTTTCGCACTATCACTTTATCTTGCTTTGAATGCATTTCTCTTCCATCTGTTTTGAATTGGGATGGGAGCATTTCTTTTCAGACAGCAAATAAATGTGTTTGCAAAACACACAAGGAATGTTACATCTGTTTTAGATGTAGCATCCATTTCTCCCTTTTTAAAAAACACCTTTACACTATATTCAAATAGCATTTTAAGCAATTAGTTGGTTACCTTGCCTCTCCACTTCTGCCCTTTTGTTGATTGAACTACTGGCTTCTCCCCCCTCCCCCATAATTGGCTGCTTTTTACACCTTCCATTTATCGAACACTATTCAATGAGTGTTTTGTGTAAAAGTAATTTTCTTTACAAAAGAGTCACTGGGGACTGATTGCTAGTTGTGTGACTGTGTTAAATTGTTTAACACTCAGGAGGTGATCAATGGATGTTTATTGAAGGATGAATTTAGGAACCAGATACATTGCCAGGGGAAGGGTTTTTTTTTTGTTGTTGGGATAGAAATATATTGCTGTATTGTCCACTGTAATAATTCCACAAGCACACCATGCCAGATGGATTGAAAGTTTTGTTGGAACAAAGGCAGGGCCTTTTCTAGCCTCTGCTTGAGCAGAAACAAACAGCCAACAACCAGAAGAGGAAGTGAAACCAAACTACAGCACAAGCTTTTTGGCCCTAAGGGTTCAGGGGAAACAGTTCAATAAGGGAACACCACCAAATTCACAACTTGCCACGATATAACAGTCCACATTTTTTTAAAAGGCAACTGTCAAATGGTAAGAAGAAAGGGGGTTGAAACTCTTGAAATCACTGTATGCTCTTCAGATGAAAGGCAAAATGATCCCACAGCCCATCTAAAGGAAACTTCATATGTTACCTAGTTTCATAACCCTCAGACAAAACACAGGGCCAAATTACAAGTTACAGAGATCACGGGTCCGATCTGTGGCTGCCAATGCCATTTCAGAGAGAAGTTTAGACACTTAAAAATTGCTGTGAGGGCCCAATCTTGTTAGGTGGCACCATGCAATCTTGTTCCTCCACATGTCTTTTCAAGTGTCGAGTTCTGCGAGAGGCTTTTCAGCATTTAAGGCATGGAGGGGGAGAACAAGATCATTTGTTGCCACCACGTCACACCCTCATGGCAATTTTTAAATGGCTAAGGCCCCGGTCACACGTGACGGAAAACGCGCGGGGGAGGCGTGGCTATTTGCGGCACTGTAATTAGCTGCACGACGTGATCAGACGCGACGGCGGCAACCCACGGTTCCGGCCCTCAGCGTGTGTGCTGCAACAAAGATGGCTGGAGGGAAAAGCCGCGCCGGCACGATCACACCAAGGGAGTCCAGAGGCAGCCTGTGGCAAACCGTTTGCTACTACCTTCGAGGAGGTATTTTTTTACCACGCATTTTCGGCGGCATGCCACAGGTTGGCCACAGGTGCGCTCCACTAGCCAGATGTTGTGGCATGATCGCGCCCGGAAAATCTGCCATCCAATCGTGGCTCTCCCGCAGTAAATTCGCCGTGTGAACGGGGCTAGAATTTTCCTTTAAAATGGCTTTGGTGGCCACAGGATCTCCTGGAACTACAACTGATCTCCAGATTACAGAGATCAGTTCCCTGGAGAAACTGACTACTTTGGAAGGTGGACTTTATGGCGCTATGCTCCACTGAGGTCCCTCCCCTTCCCAAACCCTGCCTTCCCCAGGTTACATCCCCAAATCTCCAAAAATTTCCCCACCTGGAACTGGCAACCATACGTGTAAGACACTCACAGAGCTGATCTTCATCTGTCCACAAGTGGAAGCTGATGTTGGGGTTGGGCAAAGGGATGCCTGGGTTTCCTTCTGCTGCAGCCTCCTCATCTGTAGTAAACAAGGGGCTTGTTATCATCCTATTGTGGACTGCACAATGCATGCCAGCCAAGCAAAAGCAGAGATGCAGTACAGCAGTGTAGGAACTTGAAAGAGAGATGGGAAAGTCCAGGAGATTTTTTTGTTTTGTTTGGTGACAAACATTTAGCCTTGTCCTGCGTTACTCTAGTACAATATGGAGCAACTATTGTGTAGAACTTTGAACAACAGAGGTCTCAGATAGCAAGAAAAAGACATGTGTTTTTCAGAAACTCCACTTTTTGTGTTCTCTTTCCTATTGAAAAAAATCCTGGTTTTGTTTAGCACAGCTGCCTGCTAGTCAATAAATAGAATTATACCCCAGTTGTGGTGTGGGAAGCCTATGATGCCCTCTTACATTGGTTTAAGGATGGTTAATTTCATATGAAATCAAAGCACTGCACACTGTTGCCGGAGGTGATCCAGGAAGCTTAGCCCACAGCACCTGGTCAGGACTGAATTCCAAGTACAGCCCAGAGATTGGGATCCTTTCTTAGAAACACACTTAGGCCTGTAGCTACAGTGGGGCCTCCTGGGGCCTGCCCCCCCCAACTTTCTGGCAAGGCCCCATGGCTTGGTATCCACCCCAGGTCTCCCTGCTGGAGCATGGGGCTCCTAGGTGAGGCCATCAGTGCATTTGGAGCAGAATCAGGTTGCTGGCCGGCAAGGTGGGGCTGGCGGGAACTTGTGCTCAGAGAAGAAGCTGGGGGCAGCATGGGTCATGGAGGCAGCAGGAGCCTGGCTGCAGGGGGCTGGTGTTGAGGAGCCGCATGCACCCTTCCATGGCCACTGCCAGGGAACATGCCACCCGCCCACCCGCAGCTGTTCTGGCAGGAGGAGAGAGGCCAGTGCAGGCACTTCCTCGGCTATGACCCCACTTGGGACGGCAGCCATCAGATCCAGCGCCGGGGCCATGCTGCTCCCACCACTCTCCCACTGTCGACTCTCGGGCAGCCTCGGCAGGTCATGGGGCTGGGGGGCCCTCGGGGTGGAGCCAGGGAGGAGGAGGAGATTGGATTTATATTCACTATTGCTGGGGCCTCACTAGCAGCACTCACCCCTCTGGCGTACTGCTTTTCACTCTGGGGCACCTTTGTTTGCTTTGGTGCTCCCCCCCCCCCCCGGTGCTGGACTGGAGAGGCTTGGCTGGGGGTTGAACCTGGAGAGTTCATCCCTGGTGCTCATCTCAGAAGCCTCGTCTCTTGTCCACTGATGCTTTTTTTCTGATGTCCCTCCTCGTGCACATACACACCCACCCAACCCCACACCCTGCCGTGTTAAGAGAGCAATCCTAAGCAATTTGACTCAGAATCCTCTTCCAGTCTTTACAATGGGGCTGCCTGCCTTATTATTTTTATTTTATTTTTATTTCAGTGCCCTCTGACTTTTTACAAGGCCCCCTGATTTAAGAAATTCTGGCTATGGGCCTGGACATGCTTACCTTTTTTTGAAGTGGTTAATAATGTGCTATAGATTTTTTCTAGTTCCTCAACATACTGATTGTATTCTGCATTCAAATCTCTTCCGGCACGTTCCATGGCTGCCACCACCTTCTGGAAACAGTGCTCAATCTCATCTAGGGGCTTTGCCTGTTACAGGAAGGGGAATGGAATTAAAATCATGGACTGGTAACGCCCACTTAGCTTTGCATGACTGGAAAAAAAGTCTGTCACTGGACAGTAATGAACACAGGGAAGACAGATTTATTGGTGAGCTTATAGCATCACAACCTGATAATATGTACCAGGTTTCCTTAAAAAGAGAAAAATCTGCCTTACAGTGACATTTCTTTTAAAATCCTATACTTTTATGGCTTTATGCTACCTATATAACAAACAATTCACAATATACTTTTCCCAAGTGGGAAAAAAATATTTTGTGTTTTTTTCAAAAGTAGAAAAATATAAATTTTAAATGTCTTACACTGCAATTAATCTACCCCCAGAGTTTTAGATTCATAAAGTCCAGAAACCATGGTCAAAGTATTATTGAAGTATCAACAAAATGGGATTATATTTTTGTTGGAAAACTAACAAAATTGCAGAGAATCTGCCATCGATCTTTATGACTGATTCACTTGATTTTCATGAACCAATGTAACTATTTACACAGAAGAAAGTGGTGAAATGTATCTGTCATGATCTGGGCTGTGCCACCAGAGGCCTACTAGGCCCAGGGAGTCTGGTTAGCAGTAGGGGAGGCTGGGCCTACAACTCCTAGAAGCCCCTGAGAGGTTTTGGAGTCAAAATTGACCAATAGGAAAAGAGGAGGGCTTGGAATAAAAGATCTGGTGCAGCAGAAAAAGCAGTTCTTCTTCCCAGGGGACAGAGCCAGAAGGGACTGAGGCTGCTGTGGGGAAGACACCCTCATCCTGAGGGAAGGATAAGTAGTCTAGTGCCACTTGGAATAGTGAGCTAGGGACAGTATATATTTAGACGTGTTAGGGCATTTGATTTCTTTTCTTTTCACCCACTTACTGTTATTATTCTGCACCTTGTTTGTTTGTTTTTTAAAGCCCCCGGAGGGGAATTTTTTATTATTTTTCAAAACTACAAAAAACTACTACAGAAAAACAGGAAGGGGAACTACATATACTACCTAAAAACCCAAGAGAGGAGATCATCAATAGTTTTTTCACAATATAACTTCCCTTCGTTTAAACATAAAATAAACTGAGTCAATCATTATTAATACATTTTCTTTTTTCTAACTTTTACAATTCACTGTCTAAAGACAACATCTCCAAATCTTCTATTTTCATCTTTCCCGAGGCACCATACAGAGTCCTTCAGCCTCTAGTTCTCTTTTTATCGTCTTTTACGTAGCTTATAAGAGCTTTTTGGAGCAGCCGCCCCCTTCTTGTCCAGAGAGTCCTCTCCAGAAGAACCAGAGTCCAGCTCACCACTAGACTTGCTGTCCTCTTCTTTTTCTTCGTCCTCTGATCTTCCCAGCTGATCTTTTAAGAATTCTTTAGCTCTTATGACAGTCAATCTTTTCTTTTTTTATCTTTGACCTTGAAAGTGACTCCCTCTGGAAACAACCATTTATATCCAATTGCGTTTGTCTGAAGAAAAGTCACCAACTCTTTGTATTTCTT